GGGAGGTAAGCGTGTGGTTGGGCAAGGGAGAGGCGGGGAGCATGACAAGGACAGGAGGTCGAGAGAAGCGCACTGTCCGTGTTCTTGAGAACGGTGAGGCCGAAATCCGCCACCTTCAGGCGGAACTCCTTGTCAACCAGGATATTGGGGCTCTTGAGGTCTCGATGGAGGATTGGGGGCTTGGAGCTGTGGAGGAAGGCTGAGAGGGGGGATATTAGCGGGCTTCGGGGGAGGAAGGCAGAGGGCGGTGGCGAGAGAGAGAGAGAGAGAGAGAGAGAGAGAGAGAGGGGGGGGGAGAGGGAGAGAGGTAGGCCGCACCCATGCCGCAGCAGATGTCCCGAAGCATGCGCATGCGCAGGGACCAGTCAAGACGGACATCGCCATTGTGCAGCACCCGATACAGGGTGCCGAGCGGCATGTACTCCGTCACCAGGGCATAGTTGCCGGGCTCGAAGCAGGCGCCCATGAAGAGGATGATGTTCGGGTGCCGGAGGGATCCGAGGATACGGGCCTCGTCCTTGAACTCGCGGAGGGCGGTGCTGGACTCCATGATCTCATTGGAGGAGAGCAGGCGCTTGACGGCCACCTCGGTGCCGCGGTACCGGCCTCGATAGACAATGCCAAAGTGCCCGCGGCCGAGGGGCTCACTATCAAGCGATAGGTCCGACCAGGAGAGCGAGTAGGCGTTCCAGACTTTCCAGCCTACGAAAGGGCAGGGCGCGGGGGGGGGGGGGGGGGGGGGGGGGGGGGGGTTGGGGGGGGGGCGGGGCACAGCAGAACGACATGTCAGTGACTGAGAGCAGGCATGGCCCGAGGATCGGGAGGAGGCCCGAGGCTGGAGCGAGGCAGGAGAGAGGGGCGATCGGGCGCACTGTTGACCGCCTCGGGCCGGCGATCGGAGAAAACCAGGAACATCACCCCGCCAAGCAGGGCCACGAAGGGGATCGAGATGAAGAAGGCAATGAGGAAGAAGCTGCGACAGGCATTGCCCAGGCAGAAGAGGCTCGTGCGACAGGGGATGGAGATGCCGGACTTCATGCCGCAGAAGTCCCCATACGAGGCACCATGCAGCAGGGAGTTGATGTCGGTCTCCAGCTCGGACAGCGAGAGAGACAGGCGCCGGGCGGCGGCGGCCGACGGCCCGGACAGGGAGGACAGGTCGAAGACCCCGGTGGCCGGGGTTTCGGCCAGGCTGTCGGGCAGCGGCGGCAGGTCGGACGAGCGCGACAACTGCCGGTAGAACCAGACCGACACCAGGTGGGACACCTCCCGGTAGCTGGTGTTCGACAGGGCAAAGGGCCGGACCACGCTGCGGAATTGGTAGGGGCCGGTTTCCGGCAGGGAGAACCCCTCGGCCGCGGCGTCCGGGATGATGATGTGCGGCGCGGGGGACTGGTTGGAGCTGTTGACCAGCGGCGCGGCCGGCTCCGGGTGGGGGGCCAGCTCCGGGGGGGTGGTGTCAGGGCCGCCGCTTGAGGCCGGCACCGGGGCCGGGGCCGGGGCCGGGGCCGGGGCCGAGCGGTTGTGCGTGCCGCCGGCGCTGCTGGTGATGGCACCGGAGGAGGCCAGCCCGGGCTGGTAGCCGGCCGGCTGATAGGGCCGGACCAGGGGGAAGTGGCCGCCGGCCGCGTGGAAGGACAGGTCCAGGTCCGCGAGGGAGACCGTGGTGTCGGGGGCGAAGAGCGGGGCCGCCGGGGAGGGGGCCAGGGAGTGAACCGCCGAGCGGGCCTGCTTCCAGTGGGCGGCCACGGCGGCCGCCGCGTCGAGAACCACACTGCGGATGCCACTGCCGAGGGTGTGCTTCGGCCGGGCCGGGGCGTTGGAGGCGGCCGGGTCGGTCGCCAGCCCCGGGGAATTGGGCGACAGGCCGAGGATCTCGCAAAAGGCGAAGGGCGGCGGGTTGCCCGGGAGCAGGGAGAATCCCGGGCCCAGGTCCGGATGGGCGGAGTCCATGTCGCCGGTCTCGAAGACCGAGGTCTGGTCACCGGCCGCGGCATTGGAGCAGGTGGGCCCAGCGTCGGCGGCCTGCCGGGCGCAGATCTCCCGGCCGACCGACACCCGGGGGGGGATGAAGCTGAGGCGTTCGGCGCGATCGCGCAGGAGATCCGGGCTGGAGAGGAACTTGACAGCCTCGCGGCATGCCCGCAGGTCAACGGCGTCCTTGGAGATCCTGTGCATTGGAGGAGGGGAGGGGGTGAGCATGATAAGGAGCGGTGATCAGACAGAAAGAGGGAGTGGAGAGAGAGAGAGAGAGTGGAGAGAGTGGAGAGAGAGTGCGTGTGTGGAGAGAGAGAGAGAGTGGAGAGAGAGTGGAGAGAGAGTGGAGAGAGTGGAGAGAGTGGAGAGAGTGGAGAGAGTGGAGAGAGTGGAGAGAGTGGAGAGAGTGGAGAGAGAGTGGAGAGAGTGGAGAGAGTGGAGAGAGGGAGCAGAGAGAAAGAAAAGAGAGAGTGGAGAGAGAGAAAGAAAGAAAAGAGAGAGTGGAGAGAGAGAGAAAGAAAGAAAAGAGAGAGTGGAGAGAGAGAGAGAGGGAGGAGAGGAGGAAAAAACGCACGCCCAGCCCCAGCCGCCGATGGACCCACCACCCGGCAGAGCGGTGACCCCGACGTCGGCCGTGTCGGAGAGATTGTTGCAGCGCATCATGCCGGACCGGAGTTTCCGGTACTGCGAGGGCCAGGACCGGAGGAAGACCGACCGACAGCCACGGAACTTGGCCACGGCATTTTCGTCATCGCTGCTGAGGGAGGAAGTGATGGAGGCGACGGCGGCCTCGTGAGAGGGCGCGCGCTGGAGGAAGGACAGGGCCTGGTAAAGGGCCAGGGTGTTGCGCGGGGAGCTGATGGCCGACCGCTGGGTTTTGGGCTCGATGAGGGGACTGGCCCCATGGGCATTCATCAGCTCCACTGTGAAGGAGGTGAGCGACTCGCTGACGGCCGCCGAGAAGAGGAGCCCCGAGAGGCCGTGGTGCCCGGCCGGATGGGCGGTGGTGGGGGCCTGGCCGGAGGCCGGCCGCGAGGACCCGGTCCCCGAAGGGAGTGACTCGGCCAGTTGAACGGCGGCCGCGGCGTTCTGTGGCGTCGCCACCAAGGGCGAGTGAGTGGATGGGCGGGGGGAAGGGGG